GGGGGAGCAAAAGCCAGACGAATCTGACCTAACACGGAACAAAAAAGCCACACGAGGCAGTCTATTGCCACAAAAAAAACTGCTAAGAAAGACGACGACGGAGGGGGGAAAAGCCAAGTAGAGGAGGACATGAATAATAACGATATATAAGGGACAGGAAACTGGAAGGATGGGAATCGTTGGGGGTTGGGAGGCGAAGGTGGGGAGCGGGCACAGACGAGGAGAGGGCATGAAAAGACAGAAAGGRCAGGAAGRAAGAACAAGGTAAAGCCAGGAGCATGAATAAAGATTAAGRATAGAAAGACGAAAGATTGGGGSCGCGGAGGAGTAGGGTATAAACAAATATAACAACAACAAGACAACGAGAAGCGATGAGAAACAGCGAATGAGAAGAAGGTAAGGAAATGAGAAGGGGGGGGAAAGAAAGAGAAGGCGATCAAGAAGGGGACCTGCGTGTGCACAAGTGTAGGAAGCAAYGAGGAAAAGAAAAATGGAGACACGTGGGAGTGAAAGGACCGATATTGAATTATTAGGGCTACCGTGTTCCACCGAGTAGAACCCAGAGTCATAACGTTTGTATTTGGCTAGCCCAGATACGGCGATATTAACCGCTTCTTCGGGGAAAGACGGTAGATCCCGAAGATACCAGCAGCAGCAGAACGGAGGAAAGGGGGGAGAGAGACCTGCAGCGAGAGAAAATGACGATTTCGACGCAGAACAAAGCGCAGAGAAAGAGCGAGAGAGAGAGAGAGAGAGAACTCGAGTGATGGGTTGGAAAAGCATTACTGTCCAACGAGAGGAAGAAGGAAGGAGGCTTAAAAAATGATATGCCGACGAAAAAAAGAGATCGGACGAAAAAACAACCAGCGACGGAAAGAGAGAGAGAGAGAGAGAGATGGAAGAAGCCGCCTACGATAGAGTGAGCGAAGGAATCAGATAAGACCAGTATGCGAAAAAGAGACGGAGAAAGAGAGCGAGAGAGCAGAGCGCGTCTAGGAGCCCTGACAGATCGAAGAAGCCGCAGACAATAGAGTGACAAAAACAAACCAATGGACCACAAAGGACCGAAGGCCACAAGGAAAGAGAGAGAGAGAGAGACGTCTCTGGAAGCAGCAGGCAAAAGAAGCAGAGAGAGAGAGAGAGAGACATAAAGACAGCAAAGAGACCAAGAGAGAAACAGATAAAGACAGCAAAAAGAGAGAGAGAAACGGACGAACGTACAGCAAAGAAACTAGGGCAACAAGGGGAGACAGAGGGAGGAGAACGTCCCCAGGAGTGGTGGACAGGAAGGAACACACAAATGGACATCGACTAAGTGAATGCTACCAGGAGAGGTCCACAGGAATGTAAAGAGAATAACAATTTATCTAAATTAATAAATTAGGTCAGGAAAGGACTGGGACGTWCACAAAGYATAGAACTAACAAATTAGGTAAGCGAGAGCGACGTACGCAGTAAAGGCCACAGTGAAAGGGACCTGAGAGGACTCCTGTAGGATAAGAAGATAGGAGAGAGAAGAAACAAAGGGAAGGAGTAACAGAGAGCCTGACAAGAGTGAAAAGAACGAAGAGGAGAGAGAAAACAGACAAATGACAGGGAAAAAAAAAAAGAGAGAGAAACTGAAACTGCTTACAGATAGACAAGTGCGGGGCAGCAGAGCAGAAAGGGTATTCGGTTAGAAAGCTTAACGAACCGCGACAGATCCAATCTCCAGGACGAAACTGATCTTTAGGATTGACGCCACTCTTCTCCACCCACACTCGCGGCTGCTTGCATCTGTTACATAGCATTCTGAAAGCATAGTTCTTATTCTGACATAACGCGCAATCCCAGTCACCTTCCCTAGACCCCTGGGACGACATCTTCTCTCTCTCTCTCGCTCGCTCTCTCGCTCTCGCTCTGTCTCTCTCTCTCTTACGCGCACACACGCGCAGAAACGCGCAGAAAGGCAGAGGCGTCCGCACACAATACTCTTCCCTCCTTCCTCCCGTGCGCGCACTCAAACCAGTCGCCAGACAGAAGAGTAGTTTTCGCTTACCTCGGCGGCATTAACCTCCGCCGCCGTCGACCCGTCTTCAGCGACAAAGCCGTCCTCCACGCTCACCCGTCTCCTGATGCTCCTCTCTCTCTCTCTCTCTCTCTCTCACACACACACACACACACACACACACACACACACACACACAGAGAGGCACGCACACACGACACAGTCTCTCTCACACACACAAAGAGGCAGACAGCGGGGTGCGCGCGCGCATGCGCACACACCCACACCCACACGACCTACTTCAGTAAGCTAAATGCGATACATGTGCTCAGAGTCGCTGGTACCGCCGTTCTCGCTGAATAGCCTGACTATCCCTTCGCAAGAAACCGCGAGAGACAGTTAGCATTCTCACCCCCCAAACACACTCATTACGATTGCTAAACCCTTCACTCAGCACCCCTCCTTCCAACCGCCGCCACATCCACACAGAGAGACTCTCGACAGTTAACAATATATAGACCCTAATGCCACCTGTCAGCTTACACTGATGCCAGTTGTCAGCTTCTCTAACTGCCTCGCCAGACCACACCCCTTTAAA